ATCTAAATGGCTTTTATTTCTCATTTTCGCTTAGGCGGAATTTTGCATTTAGCATTAATTGAGAGAGTTTATTGGCAATTATACGCATTGAGCAAATCTAATATTGCAGGAATTAAGTGTCCCAAAATAAAATACTTTGAGTGGAGTGAAAATCCTTACATAAGACCCAAGAATGCCTGTAGTTGTGTAACGCTTGTCTTAGATACTAACTCTAATCACTTTCGCAAACTAGGATTTAATATTTATTTTGTCGAGATTGTGTTTATTTTGACACTTGCGGGAGGTGTTTAATCACCTGATAATTACACTGTGTAAGCAAGGGATTATTAAAAGCTTTACTTGTCTTAGGGATTAACAATCAGTTAGTATTTTTAGGGTAAGGTATGGGTTAATCATATGAAGGCAGAAAAATCTATGTAGATCACATAGAAAACTTCTTAATATTGTTCTGAGTAATATATCAAAAACACGGGAGATCTTGGAAATATTATTTTTTTTAATTAAAATATTGGAAATAACTGTACTTGAACTAATTTATCAGAAATATTATTTTCCAACTATGATAAGGATTACTGAACTGAAAAAGACGTGAGATACCAAAATCCGGAGGGCATTACGGGGCCTCTAAAAGAGATCAATCGAAAGGGGGCACAGAGGCGGCGAGAGAGAGAGAGAGATACTCGCTGCAGGGGGCAAACACTCATGTACACACTCACACACTCTCCCAACGAAGAAGTGTGCGACGCGTCAGGGCAGAAGATAAAAATAGTATTAGTTGCTGATTATTATTGCAAAAATGCGCATTCCACAGCGGCGAAGAAGAAGAAGAGGAAGGGAGGAGAAAGGAGGCGGAAAAGGGGGAGGCAGCAGGCGGAAAAAAGGGGGCGGGTCGGCGGCTGCTGTTTTTTGCTTTTGCTTTGCTTTTGCTCTCTGTGTTTTCGTTTTCCCTTTTTTCATCCACTCTCTTACACACACACAGAGGCGTATTTTAAATGTGGGGAGTGGGGGTAAAAGGGGGTGGGGCAGGGACGGCGAAGGGGGCAATCGAAGTAAGCAAGAAAAACGAGCTAAATTGCATTTTCGTCGTCGACGTCGCTGGACTTGCATTGCAGCCCACAGTGGTGGAGAGGGGGTGGGGAAAATTCCAGGCGGGTTTTCGGGGGGATGCTGATCGAGAGACACCCACAACAGCCGCCCCTTTCCCTGGAAAATGGTTAAAGACTTCTATGGAAACCTCTTTTTATCTATGCTATGGGATTAGTGTTAGGCTTCCTATAAGTCGAACTATTTGGAACATTTCAAAGTACTCGTGTTTATGTATATTTACAAATGCAATACTAACCCACAAAAGAGATATGTTGTTAAAATAATAGAACTATTCTACAAAATTCATTTTATCAGAAAAATATAAAGCTATTAAATTCTTGATTAAAATGTAGATTAGATATTTTATATTGTTATAATCCTTTTTGCAGGGTATCCCTTGATTCGACATAATCCTATCCCCTCCTCCCCCCACCATCTTCCTCTTCCTTTTCTTGTTTTATCGTTCATTTACTTTTAAAAGCGAACAACAACAGCAAAAACAGCCCACTGTATTGGTATTTATTGCCCTGCTCTCTGCTCTTCGAGTGTGTGTGTGTATCTGTGTGCTTTGTGGAATGCACACGATCAACGCCAATGGAGCCTCACCTGTTCCATTCTGCCGCAGCAGCAGTCGACGTCGCCGTCGGCGAGGCAGAGGCAAGAGTACAGAGCAGCAACAAAAACAATAAAAACAACAACACGCTCACATAATCCAATGCGAATTGCATGCTGGAATGTGAATGGAATCCCAACGATTTTCCAGCTTCGCTGACGATGACGCCGCTGTTTGCTGGTTTTTAACAAAAACAACAATGGCAGCAACGGCAGCAGCAACAACTACAACAATAGTAGTAGTAGTAGTAAAGACAGCAACAACATTTTGCACATTTGGGAGGAGTTTTTTCTTGCCAGAGATTGGTCAAGCTCTTTTTTGCTGGCTGCAACTTTTGTGGGCTTGTTTATATCCCAGCCATATACTGAGTTTTATAAACATTCGATGGAAAATATTTGGAATTTCGATTGGGCACTGCTGATATACATTTATATTATACCCAGTATGGTATAGACTAAACATACCATATAAAAGTAAATGTTTTGAATTTAGTTTAGGATTGGATGATATCAAGACAGAAGGGGTAATATTTAAATTTGGTAGGGAAGGATTCCCCTTAATTTGTGTTTTAAAAAAATTTAAATATTTTAATTAATTGAACTAAAAGTTTTTAAGAACTGTGATATTATATACAAGTATAATTTTAAAGATTTCTTTTCTTTTTTTAAATATAGAACAGGAAAATGTGATATAAAGACGAAAAAAAATAATATTAGTATGTGTTAAAATATTTTGGTAATAAAATGTATGTTTCATTTAAACTACATACTACAATATATAATATTAAAGGTTACTCTTTATTTATATTATTTTAAAGGAATTATCTAAGCAAATCTAAATTACATTGGAATATTTGGAAATGAAGGCTTGAGGGACATATCTGAGATCTACAAATATAAAACAAAGTAAATAACTATGCTAACAAAGTTCAACCATTCACATTATTTTTAGCTACCGAAAAGTGTAAAAACTTCAGTAGCCTATGACACAGAGATTTTGCATATCATCGACATCCAAAGTTGCAATTAAGTTTATGAATTTTCGGCTGGCATGCCGACACGCTGACTTCACAAAAGGAGGAGGTCTCGAAACCCCCACGCCCCCTTTTGTATCTTGCTTTGTGCCTTTGCTGTTTTGCTTTTTACCATCACAAATAAGCCGCCTGAGAAATTATTGTCGCACTGACATTGAAGTGGCGGCGCTGCCTCTAATTACAAATTACAATGGGTTGCACTGCAGTTACTTGTGCCACATTTTGCATTTCGCATCTTTCGGATTTACATTTCCCCCGCTGCTCTCGTGGATTTTCCCCATATTTATGTTTGCCGTTTGTGCGCTTTATTCATATGGAAATCGGAGGCAGCTGCTGCCCACGGTTGCATCAACACCGCGGATATTGTCACAAAGTTGATCTTTTCTCGGCTACAGTGGGTACTGCCTTTGTGGGATTTAGTGGGGAATAGGGAATACTTTTTACCATCAGAATAAATGTAGATCTTATTAAAAGCCACGGATACCAAACCACATTGACTTGCATCTTTGATAAAAAAAAACAAATATCTAAAAGATAGCTATCAGATTTAACAGATCTATCAGTCCAACTTTTTCGATATTTGACATAAGAACAAAAGTCTAGCAATATTTGATTATTATTAAGAGTTAGAAATGTTAGTATTTCCAGGCGCAGCATTTCAGTTAGAACTATTCAAATGTACTATAAGGGAATCACATTTCTGATTTGATTTTTTAGTTTATTTATGTATGTTTTTTAATTTTTTCCGCAATTTATATCTATTATTATTGTTGTTTTTACTTTTACTGTTTTCTTTGTGATTATTTTTGTACATTTTTCAAGACACCTATTATAACCCCAATTAGCCGCAGTTGGAAAATCTAGAAATCTGAATAGAAAATGCGGGCAAAATTGACCTTGCCTAATGTCGTGGGTAAAACGAAAGGAATTCCAATTTACACTGGAATTAAGTTAAATATTTTTGTTGAGATTAATAGTTTTCACAGATACTAGTGCGGAAGGGAGACGGAAGATAGAAGAATTTAATCCGATTTGTGTAGCAACCTCTCGCTCTCTCTTTCTCTCCTTCGCTCTCCCCCACACCACACACACACGCACACACACAGCCATAGATATTCCACGAGAGAGCGAGAGCGAAATATGTAAATACAGCCTGTTGCATTTGTGTGTGAATTTCGCATTTCGTTTTCAGGCACTTTTCCGCACATTTTTGATTGCCTTTCGTGCGTTTTCCGTGCAATTTTCCTCGCTTTTCCACACAGACAATTGGAAATGCACACACAATCGCATATACACACGCACTGGGACACACACGCACACAGTCAAACACATTCAACAGATATTGCATTTTCTTTTTGGACTGGAAGATACGCAAATTCCAGCTGCAAACGTTGCATTTTCACCAGGCATTTTCCACATTTACCTTGGCTCCTTCGCGTTTCCACTTTTCTCGGGTTTTCCACGCGATTTCCTCGCTTTTCGCCTCTTTGTTCTCGCCTTTTTCGCGTTTCCCACACACGGCACTTATTGCTTTTCTTCTTTTTCCCCTGCTTTTTGTTGACAAATCGCTGGTATTTGTTGATGCTTTTCCACTTTTCCCACGCGCGTTTTGGGTTTTTCACTCTCTCAACGGATTTTATCGCGTTTTCCGGGCATTTTCGGTGCGATTGGCTTAAAATTAGTAAAATTAATTCGTGGTTTGTTGCTGCCGTCGATTGAAGACCGTTTTGCGGCGAAGCCAAAATACCACGACGTTTTGTTTCAGCGCGAACGGTACATTAATCATCTTATCGATAGTAGTCGATAGGGCATCGATATTTTTAAAAAAATATCTCAGTCTTGAACCTTAACTTATGCCAATTGGAATGCAACGCGGACTCAAACCAAATTTAATTATCATACAGTAAGGACTCAAACCGGGTTTAATTTACTTAATAATTTATTATTTTATTTTTTGTTTATTTTTGTTAAAGTTTTTACAATTATTTCTTACATTTCTTGGCATTTATGTAAATTCACTTTTTAAATCAATTCGGCAAAAAAACGGGCCAAGGAGAAGACAATAAAATAGAAAAGTCGATGAGATTCAGCTAGCGAATTCTAATACTGCAAAATCTACGACATTACGTTTTTAAAATTATAAACAATTTTCTCCAAAACTTCCAAATTATAGTGCAGTTAATTATCTTAATTATGTTCCCGCAACAGTTTCAAATATCTCGACATTTCTGCCCAAAGCTGCGCTGTTATTACATCGCTATCGATAAGTTATCGTAGCTATATATATGGTCTAAGATTTCCTGCAATTTCAAGGCATTTTTGTAAGTTTGTTAAAATGTCGAAGAGTGCACTGGTTATCTTGGCTCCTGGGGCTGAGGAAATGGAGTTCATCATAGCCGCCGATGTTTTGAGACGTGCGGGGGTAAGTTCTGTACTTCACCCACTATTACATTACAAACCCACTATATACTTACTATATGTTCTGACAGATCAAGGTCACCGTTGCCGGCTTGAACGATGCGGAGGCGGTGAAATGCTCTCGGGATGTGCAAATACTTCCTGATACCTCGCTGGCCAAGGTATCCTCCGATAAGTTCGATGTGGTGGTTCTGCCCGGAGGATTGGGAGGTTCCAATGCCATGGGAGAGTCTTCGCTGGTTGGGGATATCCTCAAGAACCAGGAATCCAGCGGAGGTCTCATCGCCGCTATTTGTGCCGCCCCCACCGTGCTGGCCAAACATGGAATCGCCTCGGGAAAGTCCCTCACCTCATATCCCTCGATGAAGCCCCATCTGGTCGATAAGTACAGGTATTTAATATTTATTTATATTTTAAGACTCCCTTCTTAAAAGGTATTATTTTCTTTTAGCTATGTGGATGACAAGAATGTGGTTCAGGATGGAAATCTCATCACTAGTCGAGGTCCAGGAACGGCCTATGAATTTGCTCTTAAAATTGCCGAAGAATTGGCGGGCAAGGAAAAAGTCCAGGAAGTCGCAAAGGGTCTTCTTGTAGCCTATTAAAGTCACAAATGGGTACTTTCATTTAATATTTATTGAAGAGCTGTCACAGGAATTGTTTTAAACAATTTATGTAACCAGAACTGAATTACTACTACAACAACGCACAATTTTCAGTATAATAAATAAATACAACATAATTTGAAAAAATACAGAAAAAAATACCAATTTGGAGACAAAATAGGTTGATTTAAGTTATTTGATAAAATATTAAAAATAATTTCAATTTTGGCAAGCGGAATACCCCTGTTGGGAGCGTGTCCCTGCTAGCACCCTGGTTCCGAACCGCGGTTCGCGCCCCCACTCTCCCGGCGTATCGCGTTATTTCCCCTAAAACCGCCACGGTCACACCGCCGTTGCGGGGTTACGTGACACGTAAGTTTGAGAGAGGCATTTTAATACCCAACAAAACTGGTCTACTGAGCTAAAAGAGCCTCGGAAATCACACATTCGATTTCGCTTAGTTTCGTATTCCGTATTTCCAGCCTCAACGGTCTTTGTTTGCATTAATTGCATTTCCAGAAATACCAAATCCCACGAAATCGTTTTTTCAGTATTTTTGTGTTTGAACGTAAGCAAACGTAAGCAACCGTAAGAGAGAGCGTGAGCGAGAGAGCAGCCGCCAAACATCGAAACACGGAATCGCCTCAAGTTTTGTTTTTGTTGTTTTTTCGGAGTGGCGGTGAACGGTTGTTGTGGGTGTTCGTCGGCGTGTCGCGTTTTTCGCTCCGCTAAAAACAAATTTGCTACCAATTCAGTGGCCAAAAGCGCATTTAATCAAGCCCCAAAAAGTGTTTCGGCGTTCGAATAAAAATCCGTTACAAAGTGGCGAAATCAAAAGCAAAGTAAGCAAAGTAAATAAAAGTGCATACGAATGAGAGTGGGAAGGAGAAGCGAAATGCAAGTGCGTGCCAACAAATGAGAAATAGGAAACCGAAAGGAAGCAAACGAAGATAAGAAGCGAAAAGTGCAACGAAGGAGGGACAAACAAGAGAGCTGCAACAAATAAAAAGAAGAAAATTCGGTGCGGCATTTTCTACGTGACGCGAAATTAAATGCGCTCTCTCCCTCTCTTTCTTTCTCGCTCGCCCCGTCTCTCTCCCCCTCGCTCTTTGTTGAAATTTAACGAACAGGGTCAAAATAAATAAAAAAACACGTCGGTGAAATACTTGTGTATATAAAAATTCTAGGTAATTCCTACCTTCCGTTTCGCGGCTAACGCGCGTGATTCATAAACTCGTATTTAAGATACAAAAAGAGATACAGCCGTGCATTGAACCTGCTGAAAACGCTGGCCACCAGAAATCAGTCAACACATGGAAAACAACAGTAAGTTTACACTCCTGCAGTTTTAATACCTTTAGAAAGCAGGGTATTACGATGTGGATAACTTTTTTTAGTGGACCTATAGATATGGTAGAGTAACTATATTAAAATCAGTAATTCTACACTCCTTAAGTTTTATACCCTAAAAAGTCTGGTACTACAGTACAGAAAACTTTAATTTATTAGATCTATAGATGTGGATAAAATATTTATTTCAATAACCATTTTTACTGAAATAATATATGGAAAATAAAAAAAATATACAATTTTAAAATATATTATTTTTTTAAGACAGCAGAAAGTTTTTAAGAGTCTGAAAACTCCAAGAACTAAGATTTTTATGGAAAAGTATATCATACCAAATGATGTTACATAACCAAAAAGTTTTCCCAAGTTATACCTCTGTAAACACGATTTTACTAAATCTTAAAGGGCATCTGAGATTCAACTACCCGAAAACTCCAATTCCTTTCCCGTTTTGTTGTTGTATTTTCCTAGTTTTTCGGGGTGGGTCCGCCTATTTTTGCCGTCTGCCTTTTGTTCCCCATATTCGCATTTTGTGCGCCCGAAAAACTCTTCTTGTTATTGTTGCTTTTCGGGGTGGGTGTGTCATCTTAACCCAAGGACACTCGGTTTTTCCTTTGTTTTTCTTTTTGACTCGAATTTAAATCAAATCCCCTGGCTGACTAACGGTTCTGTTAAAGCCCGGTTGTTTTTTCACACTTTTAACGACCACGATTTTACAGCAATAAACCAAAAAGGCAAACAAATATAGTAAAGGTTAAAACAAAAAAGGTAAAAACAATATGGAAACCGGTTTTAGAGGCTGGCCGAAGAAAAGGTCTTTTAAATGAGAATTTCTGCGTTTTGATGATTTCATGTTGCCATCAATTTTATTTTCGCTGCCCGCACTTAACCCCCTGAAAACTTTTCAGGTTCACAATGGGAACTGGAGAACAAATGTTTTGCGATGCAAATTAGTGGAAATTCTCTCTTTCTGGTCAGCCTAATATAAAAACCTGTGATTCAGGGCGAAATCCGATGAAAATATTGCGGTTTCTAACATTTTAATTAACTCTTTTGTAAGCCCTCTGAATGAAAGCTAATTAAGTGTTTTTGATAATAAAACAACCCATGTCTTTTGTTACAGCGAAAAGGGAGTTTTAACTCTGTTTTTCAAATGTAAAATTTGTAGTTATAAATATTTTATTTCCTGTTGTAGTTCCTTAAAATAATGAGTTCTTAAAAATTTTCTTATAACTAGATTATTTTGTTCTAAATTTCCGACCAGATGACGCAAAAACCTCCCTGCGATTATTTAATACCATCTATTAGCAATTCCAATTAGAGGGAACTTGTGAAGAGCAATTTATTTGCATAACCTTGAATGTGGTGGCAAATCAAAGACTAAATATAGAAAACCAGCTTACTTTTTACTTTCCTTTTTGCATTTTCCAAGCTTAGCTTTTGTTTTCTCTGTAAATATATAGGTTTTTCCCCACAATCAGTTCAAAAGCTTACCCTTTTCTGACCCTTCGGCTACTGTTCAGAGTTCTACAAAGAGATAATCCGGGATCGATAGGAACAACTGAGGAGGGGCTCTATGCCGGACAATATTAATAAATCTTAATGTGCAGTTCAACCTTGTTACGGCTTCTTTATGAAGAGGACCCACGTCCCAAGATTGTGGAGCCCCCGCCTTTGTGTTTCTGCTTTTCCCCGATGTTGCCGACTGATAATGGAAGCTGATTGAAAGACCCCTCCTTAAAAAATATGCACCGCACCCGCAGCAGTTTTTACTGATGATTTCTTTTGATGAACAATTTCCATGGGACTTGGACAGACAATGGAAGAGGCCAGCTCTCTATATATACCTACGTTTACTACATTTGCATCCCAAACAAAGCTGCTTTCTTCCGCTTGCTTAAGTGATTCCGACTGGGTTTATGTAACGCCAACACAAAACACAAAAAACAGGCAACAATGGCAATCAATGGTCAACACAAATGAATCGCCAAATGAAAACATTTTATCAGATTTCCATTTGCCACAAATTTTGCTCGGTTTTTATCTTATCATATCCATATCTGAGGGGCCCAAACACTCCTTATGTAAAGCTTTCCTGACAATTTAATAAATTGCTCTCGCCACGCCTGGATTTGGTCTGGAATTGACTTTTGCGTGGGCCGCGGAATGGGTTAATGAAGAACCCGGGGACCACGCCCTCATCTGGCCCATTACCATTAGCCACTTCTTATAAAACTCTTTCTCTGCCTATAACTTCCTCATATTTCTTCATTTTGAAAGACCTGATGGATCGCGTTATGAGTCACTATGAGTTCGCAGAATTGCTCACGACAATCACGAATTAAGGGCACAGTTCGGCGATGGGGGAATACTCTATGCATAAAAGGAGTGAGTCATTCACAAAGGAGATTTTACTTCAATATTGGAAGTTGGACAGTTGTTTAATGTTCAATATTAAATTCATATTATTTTTATCAAACTTTTATGTGAACATTTTTTTTACCGAAATGGAATGCTTTTTACTTCCCTGATATTATAAGGGACTTCCCAGTTTCCTGATAAAGTACACTTTCCTCTGAATGCAAATATTTAATACTGGGAAGTATAATCGCCGGATATGCCCCGGCAAAAGCGTGAATGTACAATGTAAAAAACAAAAATGGCAAAGAACATTCAATTTTTTTTCAATTATTTTTCGCTTGCATTTCGTCGCAGGCGAAGCGAACAGAACCGCTTTATTGATATGCAAATAATTTACTTTTCGCGGCTTATTTTGTTTTTTAATTTTTTGCTGGTCGAGTGCATTCAACAGTTGTGACTTTCTGGTGACTCAGACTCGATTCGAGTGGCAAAATTGTATTTTAGCTGGCTTTTTTCGCCTGCCCGCCTATCTTATCGCGATTCCTCAGACTTTTGTGCCCGGGTTATCAAAAAAGGGGAGGAGAACTAAATAGAAAATTAGAGATATGAGTTCTCTCATATTGCGATATATATGCTTCCGTCCCTGACAAGGGATTCTATAAAAAAAAAAAAAGTATGCCAAGTTTATTTAATGTTTCTTCTCCTATCTAGAAATCAACTTGAATTGCCCTGCGCCTCTTTTCGTTTATCTTTATGTTTGCAGGGGAAATATGCGGGTCCCTCATCGAGTAACTATATGGCATTCCATATCAATGAACTGATAAGACCCAAATGAACTCCAAGGCCTCTCTGGTAGGATTAAGTGCAGTGGATTCCTAAGAATAATAAGGCCTCTTCTTTGTTTACTTCTGTTTACTTTGTTATTAATTGAAATAATAAACCATCAAAGTGTTTCATTGTTTACATCTGTGAGGGAATATTAATTGTTTAAATATTAAAAAAGACAAGAAATATTTTGTAATAGAAATACAAATTAACAACTTGAAAAAATATGGAATTTTATTTTAAACATTTTGAATACTTATATATTATCAAATGAAATTTAAATTCCGTTTTTTTCATACGTTTCAAAGACGAAATAGTTGATAAGAAGCCCTGAAGTATATTTTTTATTTTAGACTTTAAGTAACCATATCTACAAGTTTGACTCTTAGGAAAATCCCCTTTAATCAGCTGGCCTCTCTTGACCTCCAGCTGCACATTTTATTTTATTTTCCCCATTTCATTTGGCTAATGCACAACTCATCAGCTGCAATTGCTGATGGATGGATGAATGGGATGACTGCTCCCCAACACTTTCCATCGTAAACTCTTTGGAATT